CAGAAATTTTATTTTCTCACAGTTCTGGAGGTTAGAAGTTCAAGATCCAGATGCCTGGTGAGAGCCCTCTTCCTGGCATGCAGATAGCTGCCTTCTCACTTTGTCCTCACTGTGCCCTCTCTCTTCCTATTCTTTTAAGGCTACAGTCCTATCAGATTAGGACCCTTCCATTACGGCCTCATTTAACCTAAATTACTTCCTTAAAAGCCTATCTCTAGATACAGTCACATTGAAGGTTAGGGCTTCAATTATGAATTATTGGAGGGTGGGGGGGGAAAGAGACACAATTCAGCTGTGAGCAAAATCCCATTCTAAATCCAAGATCTCAGGCTGACATCCTTTCCTAGTTCTGTTGTAACTTCATCTCTCTATTCTACAATACCTGAAAGCCACTACCAACACATCTCATTGGTCAGGGTAGACGGAGTTATGCTGCAGTAATAAATGACACCCAAGTCTGAGTGGCTTAACACAACAAAGTTCTATTCCCCATACATACCAAGCCTGCTGTGGGCCTAGGCAGGTCTGTAGTGCCACTCTGTTCCATGAGGTGGTTCAAGATTCCAGGCCGCCTGGATCTCTTGGCGTGTTCCTTCTTCTCAACAAATGTTTCCATGGTCGTTCCAGCCAGGTGAAACAGCAAGGAGAACCCTGGCTTAAATGCTTCCCTCCACAAATGACACATGCCACTTCTGCACACAGTTAACTGACCAAAGTAGGTCACACAGCCAGGCCAAACTTCAAGTGGGGGGACTGCCAGGAAAAATAAACAGCCGTCTTGATGAGCAGAAGTCCTCTTTACACAACAACCTATAATGAAGAACGGATTAAAAGCGGATGACAGAAAAAAGGGAGCCGGTTAAAGAAACAGTGACATTTCGCAACCTGGAAGGCAGCAGGAATAAAAGCTCTAGTCAACAGTTCTGAAACTGGTCCTGGGGCTTAATTGGCATTCATTCCTTCGTCTTTATATTAGTTTCCTATGGCTGTGTAACAAATTGCCACAAACTTAGCAGCTTCATCGTTTCTGTGGGTCCTGGGTCCTCTGTTCCGGTATCAGCCAGGCTGCAATCTCAGGCTCAGAATCCTCTTCCCGGCTCACTGGGTGCTGGCAGTCGTGGTTGTTGGACTGAGGCCTTGAGTGCCTAGGGCTGCCGGCTGCGGCCTGCTGCAGGGCCCTCTCCACAGCACGGCAGTTTGCTTCTTCCAGGCCAAATAAGAGCATCTGCTGCCGCTTCCTCCTTCTTATCTCTAGACACTTTTTACAAGGGTTCGCCCGATTTAGTCAGGCCTACCTAAGGCAACCTCCCTTTTGACGAACTGAAAGTCAACAGATTAGAGACCTTAATTATACCTGCAAAATCTCTTCATTTTGCCCTATCTAATCACCTAATCCCATCATATTCAAAGGTGGAATGTCAAAAACAAACAAACAAACAAACAAAAAACCCTCAAAGCAGGATTAGACAGGGCATGCACACCAGGGGGCAGGGAACTCAAAATTCTGTTTACTGTATTTTCTCTATAACTCATTCCCTTCGTCCCCAACTGGCACTTCAGCTGGCTGACATCCTGTGCTGCTAAGGAACTCAAACCTTCACACTCAAAGGATGTGAAGCTCCTATTGGTCCTGCCTGATTAAGGTACAGGAGTCTTCCTTAAACTTTAACCACTGGGCCTGGCATCATTAGGAAGTACCCCAAGGATTACTCCTATATGCATAGCTTCTTTCACCAATTACCCTTCCCCTGCCTCACTGGGATTAGTCACAAACCCCTGTCCTTCCTCTGAGCCTTTGCTTCCTGTTCATTGCACCTGGAATGCCCTCCTTCCTGCCTCACCCATCTTCAAGGCTCTGCGGAGCTCCCTCCTCCATGAAGCCTCCCCTACCTTCCCTCTGAGCCCACAGGGCTCCCCATCTCCAGCCACACAGGTCACCTTCTGCTTTGGGTTCAAGGACCCTTGTTCCCTGCATTTCTCCCAAGCAAGATCAGCCCAAACCCAGGAACCCTGGGATCCAGAGTGGCCCAAATTGCAGGAAGTAAAGGAGGGGTTGTTCAGGAAACCCTGGCAGTGATTTTACTTCAAGCTCCAGGGGGTAAGAGGCAGGGAAGAGGGGGGTGTACTATTGCTCAAGAGTTCCCCCATTCTGATGACCAATCACCTCTGGAAGTCCTGTGCAATGTTCTACCCACACCGCCCCTCTGGCTGGCCAGAAGCCTCTGATGGAGGTTTTGGACACGAATGGAGTGTGAAGCAGATCTCTTCCCAGGATCAGGGACTTTCAATAACTGACTCATCATTTCCAGTAAGAAATTCTGGAGCAAGACAACTGAGACTCCTCAGGCCAGAGCCCTCTTCCACCGCCCAGGAGTCACTCATCCTGTTTTCTCTCTATACCAGATGCCTTCTGCAGGCCCATGAGATTGAGGGAGCCTCATATCCTCTTTCCCTTTGCACTGGGCGCCCCCTGCAGGCCCTATGAGGTTGAGAGCCACAAAGTGGATTGAACAAACAGCTAGCAGGCTCACGCACGCAAGCGCACACACACAACACACACACACACATGCGCACACACACACACACACACACACACACACACGCCCGAGCCTGCGAACTCCAACACTTAATCCACCTACACGTCTGTCCACACAGTCAGATAATCAATCACACAATCATTTACATACCCCCAGGACACAGCACAGATAGTGAAGCATATACATTATTACAATACAGATACAAGGACATAGACAGACACACATAATTACACACAGGCATGTGCACACAGACACTCGCTCACACAAGGACACAATCTTTTCTCCTAGAAAGGAGTATTTGTTTGCGGGGAAATAGGTTGTAAAGCCATCTGAGAAACAGGGCAATATCCTGAGTGGTGGACTTAAGAAAAAGGTGGCTAGAGCCCGGCCAGCGTAGCTCAGTGTTTGAGCGTCAACCTATAAACCAGGAGGTTACAGTTCGATTCCTGTCAGGACACATGCCTGGGTGGTGGGCTCAAATCCCCAGGGTGCAGCATGCAGGAGGCAGCCGATCGATAATTCTCTCTCATCATTAATGTTTCTCTCTCTCCCTCTCCCTTCCTCTCTGAAATCAAAAGATATTTTTAAAAAAAACAGCCAAATGAAAAGACGCACAGGGCGAATTGTGAGAGGGTCTCTCTCAAATGCTCTCTCCTCTGGGAGACATGCAGGGCACATAGCCCTCCCAGCATATTGTTTCATTCACCAAACAGGAAGTGCCAGGAGCTTTGGTGTCCAGAGTTTTTACTGAGATTTCATTACAGAGGCATCATTGAGCCACATGACTGAACTCAATCTCCAGCCCCTTTCTTTGGGCTGGCTCAAAGCCCCAATTCTCCAAGGACATAGTTGATCTTTCAGTGATGAGCCCCCATCCTAAGTTATCTCATCTCCAACCAAAAACCCAGGTGTAATCCAAGGAGCTCATAAATAACAAAAACACCCTATTGCTTGGAAAATTCCAAAGATTTAGAGTCTCTTGCTCAGAAACCAGGGACAGAGGTTAGTGGAATCCTATATATATATATATATATATATATATATATATATATATATATGTATATATGTATATATATATGTATGTGTATATATATGTATATATATATATATATATATATATATATATATATATATAGCCAGCGACCAGGAGGCTATAATGACCAGAATGACTGGTCGCTATGACACCTACTGCCACCAATGAATTGGTCCCATCAGGGATGGGTCCAGCTAACCTCTCCAGATCTATCTGTCACCTATCTGTGGCCCAGACAAGGCAAGACGGGAATGAGAGGGAGAAAGGGTGGGATGCAGGAAGAGAGTAGATGTATCCATTCTCCACACTTCAGGCTGAGGGAACTTTCACTTCACTCGTTTCTAGTCACTCTTTCTCCTTCAGTCCAGCCACAGAGTTCCTGCCCTCCCTCCAAAGACCATCGAGGGCAGCTATTCCCAACCTCAGCTGATTGCTCTTTCCAGGTTCTGCCACAGCACCCTCTCCTGTGCCAGTCTTCCAGGTTTATTCTCTTTCAATCCCCCCAACTCCAACCCAGCTGATAAGCCCTCTGAGGGTGGAGACTGTGCCTTCTTCTTTTCAAATTTTATTTGAGAGAGAGGAAGGGGAAAAGAAATATTGATGTGAGCAGCATTGATTGGTCGCCTCCTGCACACACCACCTGACCTGGCTATGTACCCTGACCGAGAATCAAACCTGCCACCTTTTGGTGTACAGGACAACACTCCAACTGAGCCACACCAGCCAGGGCTGTGCCTGTCCTCTTCACAGTTGTCTCCCCACACCCAGCACAGTGCCTGCATGTAGCAGACACTTGATAGTTGATTGAATGACTGTAGGAACAAAAAATCACAGGAAGGTAGGTCTCGGCCCAGATAGGAAGGGCTTTGACCCTCTGGCCCCATTAAGTGACTTGGCCAAGGCCACTCATCCGAGAAGTATTTCCATAGCCTGGCCTGTCTAGACTGAGCCCTCTCTGGAGGCCTATTCCTCCTCAGCCCAGGGTCACACAAGTAGCACAGGGCAGATAAGAAAAGGCCATTGTCGGGGCAGAAGCCAAGGAGATTGAGAGGAGAAGAGAGAATTGAGGAAAACAGCACTGAACAGGTCTCAAAGCTCTTTTCTTTTTAATATATTTTTTTTTATTGTTGACAGTATTATAGATATCTCCAACCCCTCCCCCCCCAAAAAAAAACTCTTTTCTTGCTGCCTATTACTGAGGTCTCCATCTCCCAGGGTAGACCTCCAAAACCGACTCCATCCTTATAAAAGAGAGTCCAGAGCCTCGCATCTTGGCAATAAATACCAACTTGATCCTTAGGGACAGGCCCTGCCTCCACCTCCTGGAGACACTTTGACCCCGCCCCCTCTGAAGAGATGCTTTGACTCCGCCCCTTCCGGGCAGAGGGAGCCCCGCCCCGGTGCGCGGAGTCCCTGTGACGTCACGGTAACGGTCTGTTTCCGGGGTGGAGCCAGGGAGGGCGGAGTTTAGGCTGCACCGACCCCTCAGCCCCCCTCCAGGTGACCCAGCCCCCGAACATCCTCACCTGGGGCCCCAAATACCCCCAACTCCATGTCCGCAAAGCCTGTCGCCCTGACCCCGTAAATGCCGCAGGCCCCTGCGGTGGCCGACCTCCTAATCCCATAACGTCTCGTGCCTCCGAAATCCTCCTCCCGATCCCCTCCCTGATGTGCAACTGAGCCTTCCCGGGGGCGCCTGCCTCGGGTCACCCGGGAGCCAGTCAGGCCGATCCGGAGGATGCCGGAGAAGGGGGCCGGGAGCGGGGAAGTGCTTGATCCGATCATTCCGCCCCCCAGGAGACGTGCGGAGCCCGAGACATGCCGGGATTGAGGAGATACGAGGTGGCGCTGGAGGCGGAGGAGGAGTGAGTGGAGGCGGGTTCTGCGGGGGAGAAGCGAGCGGCTCGGGGTGGGGGGAGGGCGCGAGTCCTCCGGGGGCGGGGGGAGCGGGAGGGGCGGGGCCTCCGATGTGAGGGGCGGGGCCTCCGCGGGGAGGGGAGGGGCCTCCGCGGGGCGGGGCGGGGCCTCCGGGAGACACGCGGAGTGCGGCGGGGTCAGCCGCCCCGCCTGGCCCGGCTCTGCCTTCTCTCCGCAGGATCTACTGGGGCTGCTTCTACTTTTTCCCGTGGCTGCGCATGTGGCGGAGGGAGCGGAGGTGAGGGGGCTGCGAGGCCGCGGACCCTCCGCGGGCACGGACGGAGCACAGATCTGGGGGGGCGTGCGGGAGAGCCCGCCCAGCCTCATATGCCCGTGTCGGGTCGCCCCACAGCTCGGCACACCCCCGGGAGCCGAAGCTGGAGCCTCTGCGGGGCCTGATGAGCTGCCTGTCGAGCGGCCTGGGCCCTGTCCCCCAGCGCTCCGGTCTCGCCCTCCCCCGCCGCACGCCCGCCGCCACTGCCCAGCCCGCCAGTGCATTAAAGGTTTAAACCGGAGCCGCCGCCGCGCCGCCCTCCTGACTGCCGCCGCTGCCGCCACGTTTACGCGGGGAGCCCCTCTCCGTGCTGGCTGTGTCCTTCACCGGCGGGGCCTCTCTCCTCAATAGGGTGCCCCTCCATGTCTAGTTTCCTGTTACATCTAAGGGTCTCCCATCGGTGTCAGGCCCTCATGACCGTCAGCGACTGCCCTTCACTCCCTACACCTGCATTCACCACCGAGCAGCCTGTGGGGAGGGTTGGTCTTCCTTCCAACTTTATGCCCACATCCTTGTGTCCTCACAACCCCAGCTCTCTGTCTGCTACCACCTTCCTCCTCGCTAAGACTGTGCCAGATCTTCTTTTCCTAGGAGTGGACCTAAAAGATCTTAAGGCCGAAACCGGTTTGGCTCAGCGGAAAGAGCGTCGTCGGCGGTCCCAGGTTCGATTCTGGTCAAGGGCATGTACCTTGGTGGCGGACACATCCCCAGTGGGGGGTGTGCGGGAGGCAGCTGATCGATGTCTCTTTCTCATTAATGTTTCTGACTCTCTATTCCTCTCCCTCTTCCTTCCTCTCTGTAAAAAATCAATAAAAATATATTTAAAATAAAATAAAAGATCTTAAGTCCAGAGTTGTGGAAGTAGGCTGTGAGGGGCGGGGAAAGAGTCCTAGAAGCTGCCTCTCTCAGCCTGCCATAGGGAAGAGACTTGGGACTGTGGGGGGGCTTTCCCTGTAATGAATACCCCAACTTCCAGCTCCTCCGTCTGACCCCAAGTTTAAAGATACTTGGAATCCACCCACCTAGAAGTTCTTACTGCTCCTTAGGACAACCTAAGGGCCACTGTTCCCTGTCATTCCTTTCTCTCTCGTCACTCAGTTGACCACTATCTCCTAAAGGGCTGAGGGTCAGGGACTCCAGTGGGTCAACACTCCCATCAGTTAGGGGCTGGCCCCCCGCACCAGAAAGGGCACGAAAGGATTACGTTAAAGAGACAGCCCAGTTTGTGGATGGGGGCAAAGCTAACTTTCAGCCTGGGGCGGCCCCTGCCACAGCAGGTTGTAGCTGAGGAGACCTGGCCCTGTCTACAGAGAAGCCAATGGGAAGAGATGGTTACGTACCTGGAAGAACCCATTTCTTGCCTTCTCAGGTCTCTGGACTGACTTGCCCAGGAGACAGACAGCTGACGCAGGTGTGTGACAGGACGATGGCACCTCAATCACTGCACCCAAGCTCTGGGCCACACGTCCAGACTGGAGGGTGGAGAGAGCCCCTCAGGCTCTGGCACTAGAAGTTCAAGATGTCTCTGGGTTGTGTCCACCTTCAGAAATGGACCCGGGTCTTGAGCCATTTTATCACAATGTCTACATCAAGAACCCTATCACAAGGAGGGACCCTGTCTAAGCCCGGGCCTATGCCTCACCAGGAAACTGTCAGAACTCCTGAGTGGCCACAAGGCAATTCCCGGGAAGGGCCTTCAAGTTCCACCTGGACCGGAGGGAGAAGCTCCGTTGTTCAGCCTGAGAGGGGGCTCGTTTCTGCTCTCGGAGCCGATGGTCCCCCCTGATTGCTGCAGCAGAACAAGTTACCCAGCAAAGGTGTGAGTCCCCAGGCCAAGAGGTTAAAACAGCGGAAATGCTGCAGATGGCGCTCCTGCAACAACTAGATAAGGACTTGATTACTGGGTTATGACTCAGTTTATACTTCAAATACGGAGCAGGACTTGAGGGTTGAAATCCCCAGACCTGGTGTGGGAAATTCTTCAAGTTGCCAAGGGCACTAAACACCTAGGCCAGTGGAAGGCAAACCTTGGCTCACGAGCCACATGCGGCTCTTTGGCCCCTTGAGTGTGGCTCTTCCACAAAATACCACGTGCGGGCGCGCATGTCCAGTGCGATTAAAACTTGGTGGCCCATGCTGAAACCGGTTTGGCTCAGTGGATAGAGCGTCTGCCTGCAGACTGAAAGGTCCTGGGTTCGATTCCGGTCAAGGGCACGTACCTTGGTTGCAAGCACATCCCCAGTGGGAGTGCGCAGGAAGCAGCTGGTAGATGTATCTCTCTCATCGACGTTTCTAACTCTCTCTTCCTCTCTGTGTAAAAATCAATAAAATATATTTTTTTTAAAATTAAATAAAAAGCAATGGAAGATCAACCAAAGGGGGAAAAATAAAAAAAATAAAAATAATAAAATAAAAAAGCTTGGTAGCCCATGCACGAAGTTGATTTTCGGCTCTCAAAAGGAATTTTAATCGTACTGTGGATATTTGGCTCCGTTGACTACTGAGTTTGCCGACCACTGCCCTAGGCAGTTCCCAGCTTCCTGGAAAGGACATGAGGAGGAGTTTCTCTTTGACTCAAAGATTGAGGGGTAAGGGAAGCAGGGAGTGAGGGCTGGGTATGGGATTAGAAGGGACAGGAAGTAGATGGGAGGTTGGGGTGTTAGCAAGAAGATGGGGTGCGGAGGGCGTTGGTGTTCCTGGGTATTACTGAGCCTGGGTGGGGACAGGGAATGTCTTCCCAGGCCCACAGTGGAGAGAAGCCAGAATCTGAACAGAACAAAAGAGAAGCAATTGAGCTCTTGAGTCTGGTGTCTCTATAAGCCAAGTAAGGACGGAGTATGGAAACCCCAGGCCAGGCCCCTTTTGCCAAGAAGCTGGCATTTCTGGGACAGGATTAGGCAAAAACAAAAAGATTTCTTGTTTTTTTGTGTGGGTTTTTGTTGTTGTTTGTTTCTACTTTAGTAGCAACCTGGCACCAAAGAACTTTTATCTTCCTTCATCTGCCCTCCTTACCCACACCACCCTTCCTTCCTGTCTCATCTTGCTGGGGAAAGCAGCGCCCACCTCAACATCTCCAAGGCACCCAAATACCACCAAAGGGGCTTCCCAGACCCGCCCATCAATGTCTCCTGATAAGATAGGCAGGCTAGGGCGGGAAGTGGGGAGGGGAAAAGGAAGGCAACTTGTGCTGGCTTGCCCTCAGCTCCAGCCTACCCACTACGCCCCCATCAGAATTTGTGTACTAGTCCGACTGGAATATTGTGAAAACAGCTATGTGGCAGTGGGATTTTGCATAATTCTGTCTATGGTTAGCCTGACCATGTGAGGTTGATGGAGTGAGGTGTGACTGTGAGTGTGTAGCTGTGGGTATATGAGTGTGAATGTCCATCCTTGGATGCCACTGCGGACTCTTGGCTGCTCTTATTCAGTCACTGTCCCTTCAGGCCCCACATCATGCACGATGCCTCTCCCCAGCTTCTCCGCCCAGGGCTTAGGAGCCCATGGGAAAAGGCTTTCCTAAAAGAGGAAGGGTCCTCTGGCCCAGAGCCCAGGAATGCCACAGGATGAGACATCATCTTCACCCGCCTCTGACTCACCTGGCGCCCCAGGTTAAAGGTATCCAATAAAAGATAGGGGAGACGGAAGAGAGAGAGAGAGACGTATCCAGGCTGCGCAGCATGAAGGTGCCCTCACCCACCCTCAGTCTCCTGCTGCTTCTGTTGCTTCTGATCCCAGACCTGGGAGCAGGTCAGTGCTTGGGAGTCTAGAAGGCCAGGGATCTGGGTGAATGGGATGGGGGGGGGGGGGGCGGCAGGGGGCCAGGAAGTCCAGCTTCCAGCTGTCTGAGTGAGGGGCTTTCGGTCAGGAGCCCTCTGAACATGTGGGCCCATTATTCCCTAGCAGTGCTACTGCCATCCAGCACTACCTGCTGTACTCAGCTCTACCGACGGCCACTCTCGAGAAAGCTCCTGAAGAAGGTCATCGAGGTGGAGCTGCAGGAGGCTAATGGGGACTGTCACCTCCAGGCTTTTGTGTGAGCTCTGACCCTGCCCTTGACACTGACCCCTGACTCTGACCCCAATCCCGGATGCAGATCCCAACCCCAGCCCCACCTGCTACTTTGGATGCCAGCCCAGGCTGTCATCTGGCCTCTGCCCCTCATCCCTGGACCCTCACCTAATCTGCCAACTATGACCATGGCTTTGGGCCTTTCCTTTCCCAGGCTTCACCTGCCTCGGCGCAGTGTCTGCATCCACCCCCAGAACCGCAGCCTGGCTCGATGGTTTGAGCGCCAAGGAAGGAGGTTCCAGGGGACTCTGCCCAAACTGAATTTCAAATAGGGAAAATGGGCCGGGACGCCCAACCGTCAAAATAATAAAGCTGTATTGAACAACAGTCTCTGATGGTGGTCTCCAAGTTCTATGTATTCTCCTTCGAGCCCTGAACCTGAAGCTGGAGACATGTAATTAAACAAAGAACCTCCTCATTCTCTTTATTCACACCTTCACAACCCCCACCAGGGGCAAGGCAAACAGCCAAGGACCCACACACACTCCCCAGATAAGTACACACATACATACATGCAGAGAACACATTTTCCCTGCCTCACATACACATGGGCATACATGGACACAGATATACACATCTATAAACATTCCACTGGTGGACCTCTAGCTCTGGGATAACATCAGAGGTCCAGGTACCTTTCATCTGGCAAGTTGGAACAGAGAGTCTCATAGAAATGGGCTCCAAACAAAACTTCAGCTGAGACACCTCGCCTCATGAGGATCCACTGTCCTGCCTGGGTTCTATCTATCCGTCCATCCAAACCAGCAAGACAGAGTTGTATGTGGAATTAGCTGAAGTCTTCCTGGGTTCTCTATAGGTTTGGGGCTCCTAGAAAAAGGAAAAGGCAAATCAAGGGAGATAATTGGACTAGATTTCGGCCCAGACACCCTGAGTATGAGGAAGGAGACCCAGCTCTGAGCTTAACATTCCAAGAATGAATAGGGGAACCTAGCTCTGAATGAGCTCCAACACCCTAAAAATGAGGGAGAGAACCTAGCTCTAGTGTAGGCACATCAAGAATAAGGGAGGCTGAAAACAGTATGGCTCAGTGGATAGAGCATTGGTCTGCAGACTGGGAGGTTCTAGGTTCGATTCCGATCAAGGGCATGTACATTGGTTGCGAGCACATCCCCAGTAGGGGATGTGCAGGAGGTAGCTGGTCGATGTTTCTTTCTCATCATTGTTTCTAGCTCTCTATCCCTCTCTCTTCCTCTCTGTAAAAAATCAATAATATATATATTTTTTTTAAAAAAAAAGAATAAGGGAGAGGCCCTGACCAGGTAGGTCAGTTGGTTAGAGCAGTTGTCGGCAAACTGCGGCTCTTTGGCCCCTTGAGTGTAGCTCTTCACAAAATACCACGGCCTGGTCAAGTCTATTTTAAAGAAGTGGTGTTAGAAGAAGTTTAAGTTTAAAAAAAATTTGGCTCTCAAAAGAAATTTCAGTTGTTGTACTGTTGATATTTGGCTCTGCTGACTAATGAGTTTGCCGACCACTGCCCAAGGCCAAACCTCCTGGAGGTCCTAACTCACCTGGAAGCTTGTCCACTGGAATCATCGGGGCCAAGAAGCCAGGCTTCTGGGGTCCATCTTTCCCATCTGGTCTCAGCCTCAGCCTGGAGCATAAAAAGGCAGCTGTTTTCCTGACAAGGTGGGGCATCTCAGGCTCCTCCAAAAGGGTTTATTAGGAAAGGTTAGGAGAGGAATCAGTGAGCATCATGAAAGTTGAGGAGAAAGAAAAGTGGTTCCAGAATCATATTCAGCGGGAAGTCATGAGGGGTGGGGAAGGGTATGGTCTGTGGGTATCTGAGCATCTGTGTGAGATCAGAGGCCAAGGCACCAATGACAGGCACTTACCAGAGCCCCAGTGCCAGGGCCCCAGCTGCCAGTCCCAGGAAAGAGAAGATCCCCAAAGATGCCAGGACAGCCACCTGCTCCAGAGGGTCCCTGTGGACTAAGGGGCGGGGAGCACATGTGAGAGTGAGCCTGACCAAACTCGGTGCCCCCCTCTCTCTGGAACTTTCCCATCCTCTACCACCTTTGCCCATCTACCCAAGCTCACCAAGTGGTTGTAGGTCTGGCAGGAGGGAGGGCCTTGGGGGGGCAGGGCTGTCTGCTTGAGGCTCCTTCTCCAGCTGCATGTAGGGCTGACCCCCAGCAGGTATCTCCTTAGGTAGGGGCCCTGAAGAGAGGCAAGACCGGGGGAGAATTGTCCGCACAGGGTAGCGGCAGAGGCCAGGGCCTGCCAGTTGAAGCCAGGGCCTGACTTGGACACAGGGGCACTTAGGAAGCGGGGCCTGAAAGGCCAGAGTCAATTTCTGGAGATGTATCAGGGGTGGAGGCTGAGGAGCAGGGCGGCAGGCAGCCAAGGCTGAAGCCTGGAACAGCGATCGCCATGCCTACGTGGGTGGGGCATGTGTCACGCAGCCCTGTTTGTGCCAACCTGTCCAGCTGAGGGCCAGGCGCATCCCTGGGTTCTGTCTCTCACCGGTGCTCGGAGTCCCCCAGGCCTCGGGGCTCCAGGCGCTCCAGCTGCCAGCATCCAGAAAGTCCCGGGCACTGACCCGGACAGCATGGGGCAGCCCCGCCACAGCATCTGTGATCACCTCCTCCAATCCAGCTGGCTCCACCTGGCGGTGAAGGTGGTTCGTCATCCGGATTATAAGCACTGAGCCTCCCTGGCCCAGGGCCCCCCAGTCTGCAGAGTCCCCTTCCTCCCTGCCCTGTCCCTGTCAGCCTGGGAGAGCCATGTGGGCCTCAGGGAGAGTGGCTGGTGGTATTGGGTCTACACCCCATGTGTGGAAGACAAAACTACGTAGTGTTTATATAGACAGGCTGTGCTGTCAGACTGCCCGGGTTCAAATCTTCCTGGGTAACCCTGAGCCTCTCTATGCCTCAGTTCCTTCATTTGTAAAATAGAGGTGAAAACACCTCAGTGAAATAATGCCTATACAAATGTGTGGCAGACAGCGCTCAGTAAATACTGGTTATTAGCTGAGGCAGCCACTCCCCAGGCGTGGTGTGGCCAACCTCTGGCATCTCCCGAGGTGGGAATTCCCTGCGATCTTTATCTGGGATATGAGTGTTTTGTATCTGGGCATATGAGGATGTGCTTCTGGATGAAAGACACTTCCAATTTTAGTATATGTGATGCCCGAGTGAGCACCACACTTCTTTTCCTAGAAAAGTTATTTTTAAAAAGCCACTGCTGCCTCCCCACAGATAGGCTTACATCAGAGTTCCATCCCACAGGACAGAGGCTTGGCTTACTGCTCCCGCTGCAACCCCAGCCCCCAGCCCCCAGCACCAAGCCTGGCCCGTGGGAAGCCCTCTCTATGGGGAGCCAACAAGGCTCCAGGGACCCGCCAATGCCAGAAACCCATGCAGAACACCAGAAACAGGAAACCAGAGGCAGGACCCGCAGCCCCGGGGCACATCCAGGCCTCACCGTGGACCAGGTGGGATGCTGCACTGGACGGTACTGCAGCCGGAACTTGAGCAGGAAGTGGGGCTGGCGGGGCCAGGAGGCAGGGTACGTCCAGCTGGCACGCAGGCGGCGGGGGTAACCAGGTACTGACTCTACCCGCAGCCCCTGGGGTGGGTCAGGACGCACTGCGGTGGTGGAGACACAAAGTCAGGGCAGGGGGGAGGTACCCATCCCTTAGCCACCACCTCCCACAGGAAGGGGGGGTGTGCCTAAAGGTGCCTGAAGGAGGCACTTCCAAGTGGGTGGGGGAATCTTAGGATTGATCATCCTTTAGGCTCAGGACCTGTCTGTTATCCTTGTTATACAGTGAGCTGAGATCTGGAGACAGGTTTTTGGAAGCTTTGTGAGTGGTTTGTTTTTGTTTTTTTGTTAATCCTCACCCGAGGATATTTTTTCCATTGACTTTTAGAGAGAGTGGAATGGAGAGGTAGAGACACAGAGAGAAAAACATGGATGTGAGAGAGACACATCGATTGGTTGTCTCTTGTGCACTTCCTGACTGGGCCAAGGATTGAGTCTGCAACCAAAGTATGTACCTGTGACCAGAATCGAACCCATAACCCTTCAGTCTAAAGGCCGACACTCGGCGAGGCCCGTTTGGCTCGGTGGATAGAGCGTCGGCCTGAGGACTGAAGGGTCCCAGGTTCCATTCCGGTCAAGGGCATATACCTTGGATGCAGGCACATCCCCAGGAGGAGGTGTGCCGGAGGCAGCTGATCGATGTTTCTGATTCTCTATCTCTCTCCCTTCCTCTCTGTAAAAAATCAATAAAATATATTTTTATACAGAGAGGAAGGGAGAGAGATAGAGAGTTAGAAACATCGATGAGAGAGAGTCATCGTCATCGATCAGCTGCCTCTTGCACACCCCCTACTGGGGGTATGCCCGCAACCAAGGTACATGCCCTTGACCGGAATCGAACCCAGGACCTTTCAGTCCCCAAGCCGACGCTCTATCCATTGAGCCAAACCGGTCCCTAAAATATATTTTTAAAAATAAAATAAAATAAATGCCGACACTAACTACAGGGCCAACACAGCTAGGGCTGTAGAGGGGATTAAAAAGTAACCCTGCTTTCCATCAAGGAAGAAGAGGAGTTAGCCCAAATTCCAGCCAGAGCTCAAGTGCCCCCATCCCACGTACAGATCGAGAGGAAGGAGGGCCCAGTGATGGCTTCCAGTGGACAGGGAGGACCTGAGAAGTGGCTGCCTTCAGCTCAGAGCTCAGAAGCAGAGAGACCGCTCTGAGGCTCGGCCGCTAGGAAGGACTTGTGGGGATAGGGGAGGGACAACAGCCCTGGGCTCCGATTGCTTTGGCTCTTAGTCTCCACAGGGGCCATCTGAGTGCTGAAACAGGGGTCTGTGCTGGGAGGGAACTGTCTGGGCGCTCCGGGGAGTTCTGTGTTGGGACACGGAGCCTCTGCGGTGGGGATCGGGGGCGGGGACTCCAGGGCTGGGTACTCACAGATGCTCTGCAAGCTCACGTCCAGCAGGCGGGTGCTGGCTCCCAGCGGGTTCACCTCCGTCACATTGATGCGGTACTGGCTCCAGAACTCCGCCCCGTGGACCACACAGCGGGCAGCCCCGGGGGGGTCCTGAGGGCACGGCCAGGGCCCTGTCGATGGGCTTGTCCTGCGAGAGAGGAAGTGGTCTTGGGCTTCGGAAAAGCTCATGGTGGGATCCAGCTGTAGCCCCCAGCCTCTCCCTCAGGTCCTACCTCTGGCCATCAGCTCCTGGCACTGTCTTCTTCCTGGCAGGGAGGGGGCCGCCTGAGGTCAGGTAGGAAAAGAGGGTCCTCCCTCTTTCCAAGGCTTTCCCCGGAACCTCCCTCCCGGCCTCCCAGCT